AAGAATTTCATAACTTTCATTTCGGCAGAATTTTCGAGCGAAGCGAGAATTAAAGAATTTCATAACTTTCATTACGCCGGCTGTTTAGGACTAACCATACCATCCTAAATCAGTACTTTCGGTTCGTCAATGNACGAACCGAAGAATGAGAAAAGAATTAGGCTTAGGCTTAGGCTTAGGCTTAGGCTTAGGCTTAGGCTTAGGCTTAGGCTTAGGCTTAGGCTTAGGCTTAGGCTTAGGCTTAGGCTTAGGCTTAGGCTTAGGCTTAGAGCTAGGATACCTGAGTCGAGGCGCAGGGTAGCATTTTGGGAGGGTAGTAGTTGCATTCGTCCCATTTTAGTTTGACTAAAATTGATTTCAGTTCAACTCAAATTTTAGTTGCACCAATTTGAATCTTTTTGCTTAATCTGACTTGAAGTCAGATCGATCCCCCCTTTGTAATCTTCTGATTACACGCAGGTTTGCATATCTGACTTGAAATCAGATCAGACGAGACTCAAAAATTTCATTCAGAGAATGACGGATGCTTCAATCACCACTGTAAGGAGACGATGAGCTTAGGAAAACAACCACGCAAGAAAACAACCACGAATTTCAGTTTCTTCTTTATCGTTTTTTCTAACCCAACTTTTCTGTGTGGAACTGTTTTTGTTTTTGTTTTTCAACTTAATTGTAGAACTTTACTAACCCCATTTCAATAAATTATATTTTTTAATTCTTGTGTTCTGTTCTCAACCTGTTTATGAAAAAAAGAACTCGCGTTCGTCGACGACTGATGATTTGCCAGATGAGGATATGATTTTAAGTTTTCAATTCTGACTTGAAGTCAGATTTCAAGAGGCGCTAGCAACGGCTATGATTGCTTTTCAATGAATATAACAAGTCAACTCGATATTTCAGTTCAAATCGAAATTTCAGCTCAACTCAAATTTGTAGTTTGAATCAGATTTTAGGTGCCACGTCAGTTATTGGTTAGATACGCGTTTTCGTGGTGAGACCCATCATACGGTAAAGGGGCGGAGACTTGCCATTTCTGCTCTGTTTCAGTCATTCGTGCCATTTGTCTTGCTGGGAGGAGGTCGTTTCTTTTTTTTTGCTCCTCCACGCTATTCTCTTCACACCTCATTTTCTTTCGTTTCGTGTACTCTCATTTTAGTTTGACTAAAACTGATTTCAGTTCAAGTCAAATTTTAGTTGCACCAAAATCTTAATCCCGATATTCAATCTGACTTCAAGTCAGATTGAACCCCCCCCCCCCTTTACGCTGCTGAAATTTGCCTTCAAGTCAGATAACTTGAACCTGCGTAATTTGTTTTTTCCAGGCATTATGGAGATGGTATTTCTCTTTAACCCACTTACTGAAAAGGCTAACAACCTTGATCCCGATATTCAATCAGACTTCAAGTCAGATTGAACCCCCCCCCCCTTTATGCTGCTGAAATTTGCTTTCAAGTCAGATAATTTGCATGATTTTTAGTATAATGATATCCCACTGAAAGTCTGATTAAATCCATTCTCAATATCCTCAAATCTACCTTCAAGCCAGATCATGCTTGTGGTCGTATTTTTCATGAATGAAATGTTTCCAGATATGAGTGCAACAACTCCAATGAGAAGAAAAAGAGCAACAAACTTACGACAAGGAGAAGACGATGATTCCGGTGAACTGGTGAGAAAGAGAAATGCTCGAATGGCCGTGTTCTCTGCACTGGTTGACTGTACGCCATCCACATCCACCAACAACAACAACAACAGAAATTACCACGAAGAAGACGAAGAAGACGATGAATCGCGAACGACACTATTGAAATCGATGAGCCTCAAAAGCTTTCTGAAGCTGAAGTGTGAGACAATCAACAAGTTTCTGAATTTTTTTGACGCAACACATCAAGCGCGAAGCAATTCGAAGGATCCCAAATATCCTATTGACTTGTTACCTGTAAGAATTTTATATGACTTGAAGTCAGATTACACATTTGCAATAAAGCAAATCAATATTAAACTTCAGGACTGCTTGGAATTCCATGTCATGTTCAGAGGTGGGGGTTCAATCTGACTTGAAGTCAGATTGAATATCGGGATTAAGATTTTGGTGCAACTAAAATTTGACTTGAACTGAAATCAGTTTTAGTCAAACTAAAATGAGAGTACACGAAACGAAAGAAAATGAGGTGTGAAGAGAATAGCGTGGAGGAGCAAAAAAAAAAGAAACGACCTCCTCCCAGCAAGACAAATGGCACGAATGACTGAAACAGAGCAGAAATGGCTTAGGCTTAGGCTTAGGCTTAGGCTTAGGCTTAGGGAGTCTCCGCCTAGGCCTAATTGGGCGATCATGGTCGCATATCATGGTCGGATGATTGACGATTTTGTTCCGGGAACAACTTATTTTTGAGATATGGTATCATCATGGTCTTGTAATCCTCACGTTTTGAGAAGCTCCACTATGGTCTCATGGTACTATAAATTTGTTCCCGGAACAAAACTTTGTGTGAATTTATTTTGGGCTCAAACATTTCTTCGGATAGGTAAATTTTTTCAACCATTATAACATGTTTAAGAATTAAAATTATTTTTTCCAGGTGACCAAATGGATGTGCAACGTCCTTAGAATTCAATCTATTTCAATGTGAATTAATTTTATCTGAATCCCATGTTGTTCTTTTGTTTGAAAAGTTTTAAATAAAATTTGGAAACATTTGGAAAAAATTACTGAAAGTTCCTTCATGTATAGACACTATGGTGGTACCATAAAGTTATTCCGCTCATTTGTGATTTTTAGCGCCATGGCGAGAGGTCGGTTGGTGGAGCTGCTCCTGGATTTTCAGCTGTTTTTTCTGTTTGTTCCTGGAAC